AACTTTTCTTATATTTTTGCAACAAAAATATTACACCATTTTACTTAAAGATTTTCATATCTCTCCTCTACTTCTGTGTGAGATGTTGTTGTTGTTGTTATGTGCCATCAAGTGGGACCCGACTCATAGCAACCCCTCCTTGGGTTTCCGAGGAAGTATCACTACGGAAGTAGATTGCCCCATCTTCCTTCCGAGGAGTGGCAGAATTCTGGTTAGCAGTCAAGTGCCTTTAGCCACTGTACTATCATTTTCAAGTGATAATAGGACTGAATTTTATACTGAAAATTCATGTTTGGAATTTGGAGAATCTTTTGTGATAATGTTGGTCTGATCAAATTAGAAAAGTACAACTTGAGAGATTATCACTCAAGTTCATCTTTCTATCTCTACTCTGAACTGTTCTTAATCACCCAAGACAGACTTTTATTCATGTTAGTTCTGCAGAAAAAGAGAGAAGAAGAATATTACTTAATATTGATAGAGAGATGATCACAATGTTCTGGCCACTGTTCTGAGGGCTCTGTGTGTATAGTAACCTATGCAATCCTCTAAATAGCTCTATGAAGTAGGTACCATTATTACCTTTGTTTTATAAAAAAAGAAGTAGAGGCACAGAGTGAAAGGCTACAGAGTTGGTAAGTGGCAGAGTGAGACTTTAAGCCAAGGTGATATGGCTTCAGAGTTGACATGCTTGACTACTATGGTTGGTGTAGTATAAGTCAAGATAGGTGAGATTATGTTACCATAACTACACCAAACCAAAACATCAATGGCTTAACATGAAAGAAGACTGTTTCCTTCTCATGCAAAGTGTGTGGTGGCCCTGGGTGGCTCCCCAGGACAGCAGTCCTTCATGTGATGGCTCAGAATTCCAAGCTGCTTCCATCTTATGGACAACTCAGTATCAATATCTGCTTCTAAAATCACCATGATAGGAGAAGACAGTGGGCACGGAGAATTACACACTAGCCTTTAAAAGTTTTCACCTGGAAGTCACATTCCATTGGCTAAAGCAGGTCACATGGTCGTGCCTTACTTCAAGAGGCAGATAAATGTGATTCTCATATGTAATCAGAGGAGAGAAGAACCAGATGTGTCAGTGACAGTCCCATGTCACCATGGTATATACCCTGGGCCTAGCTCTGCCACTGACTAGCTATATGACCTTCAACAGGGACCTTTGCTTTACTTTTAACATCTGGAAATTGTCAGAATGTATTTATTTACTCAGTTGTTACACATTATTTATTGAGAGCCTACCATGTGCCAGGCATTGTGTGGACACTGGCAATACAATGATAAACATGGCATAATCTGCTCTCCAGCAGTTTATTATTTGAGAGTGATATCTTAATGATGATTTTCAGTTCTAAAATTGCAAGATTCTATTAAAAAAACAACCACAACAACAAAGCCTCCAAAGTATTATAGTCTAGAGACTCAAGCATTTCCTCAGGAGTTTCTTTCTTCTTCCTTGAGTATCTCAATCCATTTGGCTGCAGTGTAATCCCACTGCAGCACTGCAGTCTGTAAATGCACACAAATCTATCACTTTCAAGTCTCACACACACACACACATTTTTTTTTTACCATCCTCACAGCAATTTTAGATTTCATATGGGGAGTACTTCATAAAAAAATAGAAGAAAACCAATTTGAGAAATATTCAGGAAGATAAATAAGTTTGCCACATAATGTACATTCCAGATATCAAAGTTTTTCCCCCTTATTTGGGAATAAACCAAATTATAAAACTTTAAAACATTTAAAAAACGTGATTATCCCCTAGAGGAATATTCGTTGGTGTAAAATAGAAGGAATATGAATACGCATACTTGTGAGCGTTCACGTTGGCTTGCCAAAGTTTTTTTTAAATTTTATTTTTATCTCTTAGGACTTGAGGTAGCTTGCCAAGTTTTAATTTACTAGTTGCCTCTAGTTAAAATACAGTCCACAATGAAATATTTATAAGAATTTGAGTCATTGTCTTTAAACATGATGTAACAGTTTACTATTTGAATGAAATATGCAAAGAATTGCATTTTACTTTACAATGCAATTGTGGAGTTTCCTTTATTTTTAATACTGCATGTCTAGTTCTTAAACTAAAGCCAAAAAATAGTGATGCAATAGTTGGATGCATCTTCAGCCTAGTAGACCATTATAAATAAACTCCGGACTCATCACACCCATTGCTCATCCTCTTACAATCCTTCAGCACTTAAGAGGCATTGATTTAGTTGCACAATACCGTATTTTTTATTTTTTTAAAATTAATTTGCTACTTGTTTGTACTTTGAATTTACTCAACATTGGGATGTTTGTTCCTTTTCTCAATAGTAAAATCAAGAACAGAAACCTCTCAGAACATCTGAGATTTGCTCTATCAGCATCAATACTTATTGGACTTCTTGAAAGTAAAATAAGAATAATCAGCATCTTGGAGAATCTGAAAAGCTTAAAGAGAAGCTGATAATATTTATTAAGGAGAGATCAAAAATAAGCTTTCTCTATTTTCATGATATGGGGCGTGGGTAGCAATGGTTCAGTGGTAGAACCCTTGCCATTGTTCCTGGCTAACACACCTCAGGTGCAGCCACCACCTGTCCTTCAGTGGAGGCAGCATATTGCTGTGCTGCTGATCTGATTTCAGTGGAGTTTCCAGACTAAGATGGAGGAGGAAGAAAGGCCCAGGAATCACTTCCAAAAATCAGTCACTGAAAACTCTATGGGTTACAACTGATCATGAAGATGACTCAGGACCACATACTGTTTCATCATTCCATTGCACACAGGTTTGGCATGACTTGGTGGGGAAATCAACAGCAGCTAACAACATTCTCTTTATACACATTCTCCCTGAGTGATCCAATTCACGGCTACAACATCAAGCACTAGCTATGACACTCAAATTCATATCTCCAGTCAGCCTTTTTCTGAGGTCCGAACTGGTACTTCAGCCACCATTATTACCTGGTTATCCATACAAACAGTTCGGATTCAAAGTATGCAAACCAGAGTGTTTCATCCAACTATTGCATCATCACTTACCTTCATTCAGGATGGGGCCATCAACCATTTGCCAAATGCTACACCTTGGAGTTCTCCTTGATTATGACATTTTCCTTAGCAGGTACCAAGTCCTGCTGATTCTACTTCCTTAGCAATTTTCCAGCCCTTCCTCCTCCTACAACTTCCTTGCTACGACTTTAGCTCAGGTCTTCATTTCCTACCTACAGTACTAGCCTACTAAATAGCTTTCTTGTCTTCTTCCAGGCTTCTTCTAATCACCCCTGCCGTACCTAGGCCTGTGACTTTTCTCATACACAATCTGTGTTGGTGCCCTCCATTGCCGGCTTTACTCTATAAAGCTAGTGGGTGCAGTTCCACATTCAGGTTCTTCCCCAGTATTATGGATTGAGTTGTGTTCCCACCTAAATATGTGTTAAAATCCTAATCCTTGTACCTGCCCCTGTTTGGAAATAGGGTTTTTCTTTTGTTATATTAATGATGTCAGACCAGTGTAGGGTGGATTCCAAACCTACTCACTTCTAAGTTATAAAGAGACTAGAACAGACACAGAGAACAGGGGAAAAATGCCATATGAAGACAGATACTTATGGCAGGCATATTTATAAGTCCAGAAACTCCAATTATTGGTGGCTACTAGAAAATGAAATAAACAAAGAAGGACCTCCTCCTATAGCCACGCCTTGCATATGGTTCTAGTCTCCTGAACCATGAGAAAATAAATTTCTGTTCTTTAAAGTCATCTGTTTATGATATATGTGTATGTTTGTGTGTGTATGAGCTCTGGTGCTTAAGGCATTTGACTGCTAACCAGAAGGCTGGTGGTTCAAACCCACCAGTCACTCCTCAAGGAAGGCTGGGAAATCTACTTCCATAGAGATACTGCCTCAGAAACCCAAGGAGGGGTTGCTATGAGTTGTGTTGACTTGATGGCAGTGAGTTTATATATATGTGTGTGTTTATATGTTGTTATGACAGGACTAGGTAACTAGGAGACCCAGCTCAATTGCCTGCTCAGGAGGTCTCAGTCAATGGTGCCCTGAGAGTGATGCCCCTGTTCTAACACTCCTGAAATCCTCTGTGTCTTAAATAACCTTGCCGGCCTTAACAGAGCTCGCTGTTACCCTGACAATGCTCTTTTATCTTGTCTATTTTATCTTCATTTTTTTCCCCTATGGTGATTGCAGAGGAGAAGGAGAAGGAAGAAGTATGGAGGAAAGAAATGAACCTGGATCCAGATTCTGTGCTACTCTTTTGCTTTCAATCCTAGAGTCCACAATCTTCTTTTTGTCAAATGTCTTCTATTCTATACATGTATATTGATTTGGTGTGGGCTGTATTATGCCAGTCTGTGAATCTCAGAGGACAGTAACTTGTCTACCAATATCACACTGTCCTGAATCTACTATAATACCATTTGAAAATCATTATTTAATAAACACTTTCTGATAATGAGAAAAGAAAGTAAAGAAGGACAAAATCAAACAAGTTAGAAAATGGCAAACTGTTTCAAATTAATCTTGAATCTTAGTTTGAAATAACACATCCAGGAAAAAAGCCCACCAATCGTCTGTCAGTTCATCGTGCTGTACTGGCTTTCATGTTGCTATGCTGCTGGAAGCTATGCTACCAGTAGTTCAAATACCAGCTGGGTCACCCACAGCAGACAGTTTCTAACAGAGCTTCCAGACTAAGAGAGACTAAGAAGAAAGGCCTGGAGGTCTACTTCCAAAAATCAGCAATGGAAACCTTACAGGTCACAACAGACCATTGTCTGATACAGTGCTGGGAGATGAGCCGTGCAGGGTGGGAGGCACTCCAAATACCCAGTGGCCATAACAAAGGACGCAGGCATACCAATGATTGTGAAAATGGTACAGGACTGGGCATTTCGTTCCACTGTACATGGAGTCACCACGACTTGAAGTCAACTTCACAGCAACTAACAACAACAGGAAAGAAACATTTACCTTCTGATGTGGAAATGTGGACTCCATCATAGCTGTTTCAAAGCTGTGAGTACCCTCCACTTGAGTCTTCTCCCACAGAGCTCTGAGAAATTGCACAGAATGACTCTGTATGGACAGGGGCTCTGGAAACAGGCTCTAAAAGGGTAGGAATGCGGAAAACATAACATGTTATGTCTTGTTACAACAATGTTGTTTGATGGTAAGACACTATTTAGGCTTGGCTTGAAACTTAACAAGATTTCATGTAAATGAAAGACCAAAGAAATGCATCTTGAAAATCAAACATATTATACCATTCAGGCTTTATTTTTCAATAGAAAATGAAAATTATTTAACAAAATTTTCAAGACAGTTATATTAATTTCTATAAATATGTCTAATCTTTGCCATATAGTATCTACCAAGATGAATTCCCAAGAATGTTACTTAATTGGAAAATTATTTATATAAATATTCATATCTATTGCATCAAAGATCTGGAAATGAAGATATAAAATTAAGACTAGGGCACAAAAATATCACCTACTAATACAGAATAAGTCATGCAAAATAGAAATTAAATAACTAAGATTTCATTATGCAATTATTCAAATATAAATGGTGTGGGGGAGACAAAAACATTTTAATTCTAAAATGTATGCTGTTGTTGTTGGTATTTGCCGTCGAGTCGGCCCCGACTCATAGCGACCCCTCCTTGGGTTTCCAAGGCAGTATGACTACGGAAGTAGAATTGCCCAATCTGCCTTCCAAGGAGTGGCTGGTGGGTTTGAACCTCCAGCCTTCTGGTTAGCAGTTAAGTGCCTTAGGCACTATGCTACCAGAGCTCCTAAAATGTATAATGAGTGACTATTCTTAGAGTTTAAGATAATTTCTCCAAATATTGGACCATAACATTGTTAATGCAAAGAAAATCACATTTATACCTCCTTCACTGAAGTCCATGAAAATCAATTTTACAAAAGAAGATTTACTCTTTTGTTTCTATGTTTACTAATCAATGGTGTGTTTAAAGAGAGAGATCTTTCAATTCAAAGGAAAAGATTTATAAAAATATGTAGAACATCTATAAAAGGATATATATATCTATAATCATTTATGAATGAGGCATGATAAAATAACAAGTTTGGCTTGTAATATCACCTTTAATGTGTCAATGATTAATTTACAAAACTCCAGGTGGTTTGTGTGTGCAAAACTTCTATTTAGTGGATAAAAATTAATAATTTATTTCCTTTTGTACTTCTTTGACCTTACACATACAAATCCAGAAAATTTCATTAAAATGCCATTTTTATCTGAAAATGAGGATCTTAAGTTCTGAGTGAATGGTGCACAGATTTAAGAAGTTTAAGAGCTGGTGACAGATTATATAGTAACCAATAATGTGAACACACCAGAGAATTTCTTGATTATCATCAGAAGTTTATACAGCACTTGATTTTCTCTTTCAAAGAAGAGCAGATCTGATTTAATGAACCATCAATTCAAAGAGGAGCAATTAGACTGGAATCTGTGAGTTTGAGGACTCCATGAACGTGTTAAGTGTATTAGGCTGACAGAGAAAAGAGTCTGACTCAGCATAAAACATTAGTACTGGGTTTGTAATCAAGTCAGAAAGATTTGATTTTATTGCCCCAAGTTAGAATTTGCCCAGAAGATTGCATATCTCAAAGTTGTGGGAAAAGAAAGAACCCATTACAGCAAAAGGAACAAAGAAGGAAATAAAAAAAGTAGCATAAACAGATGCTTTTTGGTGATTTCGCTTAAAGAATAAAAAAAGAACCAAAATAAGTCAATAAAATAAGACTAAAGGGGGAAAAAATCCAGTTCTCTTGGTTTGTTTTCAGAAAACTGACAACTGTTAAGAACAAAGCAAGAGATAAAACCGAATACAAAGTGACTGTTGGAAACTATTTGAAAAATATGAATAAAGTACAAGAAAAATAAGATCACTATTTCAAGCAAAGGAAGGAAAATCAATGCTGTTCTTTATAAGCACATATAATTTGATTCGCATCAAAATGTGAGTTGTTCTCTAATAGATGCTATTCAATGCTTTTAAGATGATTTAGTGTAGGAAAAATGGTATCCTAAGGCAGATTTAAGGAGTCTGGTGGCTTAGTGGGTAAGACATTTGGCTGTTAACCAGAAGGTCAGAAGTTCAAATCCACCAGCTGCTCCTCAGGAAGAAGATGAGGCAAACTACTGTAAAAGTTTACAGCCTTGGAAGCCCAAAGGGGGTCACTATAAATTGGAATCCACTTGATGGCAGTGGGTTCGGTTTTGGTCTTAAGGCATATGTATCCTGTCTCTTTCTTTAATTACTATAATTCGACTTTATGATTACATATTCAGTGTAAAAATATTTTTTTCTTAATAAACCTGGCTTTACTTTGTAAAGAAATATGACTATTTTACCAATGACTTTTGTAGAGAATGTTAGAGATGTTGTTCATAGAAGTAAATAAACTACCTTATCTTTTGCCTTAATTTTCAATGATATCATAATATTTGCATTCCGTTTCTTCCATCTCTGCTCTAGTGGCTCCTGCCTGCATTGCCTTCCTTTTATTTATTTATTGTTTGTTGATTTTGTCTTTGTTGTTAATTAGTAATTGAGGGGACCCCATGTGTTGCAGGGTAGAACTGCTCCATCGTGTTTTCTTGGCTGTAAGCTTTATGGAAGCAGATTATCAGACCTATTTCTTTCATGGTGCTGCTGGGTGGGTTTGAACCACCAATCTTTTCATTATCAGTTGAGGGCAAGCCATTTATGCCACCTAAGAACCTTCCCCTCCTTTTATATTTTAACACCTATGCAATGATGAAAAGACGACTGAATGAGAAGTCAGATGATCTGAGGTCTGCCCTTTATTTTCTGTCTGTAAAAGTGATGTCCAAGATACCTTCTATTACTAACATTTTCTAATCTATATTTAAATTTTAGCTGAAAATTTAATACATACAAGAAAGGTATTTCCAAATAAAAATCTCATTTGATGCTAACATCTTTGGATCAAATTCTTCATTGTTAGATTGAAAGTACCTCTTTATGTAATTTTGCCTACATACATTTATTGTCCTAACAATGTCAAAAAGATTATGTTCACACTAAAATTAATTGGAGATTGGAGAATTCCAGAGAAACAATGTTTATGTTTGCTCTACATAAGAAAAGTTATTCCTCCAATAAGCTATTTTGGTTTTTAACCAAAGTGTATTTTTCCTTCCATTCTTATTTCTTAAAGCTATAAATAAATGGATATTCAAGATACAGCTAGGTTTAGCCTACCGATTACTAATCCAGGATCTTTAACAAGGAAAATAGTCTAAAATGTACATTTATGTTAAAAAATTATTAATGAAACGTGTTTGCATTGTTATTATCTAAATATCAACTCTGGCCAAAGAATTAATAAATCAGTGAAGAATGATTATAAACTCACACCCTACCAGTTCATTAACAAGCCATGATGCACTTGAATTGCACACACCTGCTGAAATAGAAACATGATCTGGATCCATGGCTGAGGTTCTTGGCTGATGAGAATAAAACTGGATTTACTGTACAGGCAGTAATGACCCTTCAGGGAGCAGGTGAAGAACAACTTGGCTACACAACTGCTTATAGTATCTAGAAACAAATACACACAACATTAAACTTTAGATTATTTCCAGAGTTATAGTTCATACTTCAACAAATTATGGATAACACTGAAAAGAATGGAAATTCCAGAACACTTAATTGTGTTCATGAGCAACCTGTACACAGACAAAGAGGCAATCATTCAAATAGAACAAGGGGATATTGAATGATTTAAAATCAGGAAAGGTATGTGTCAGGGTTGCATCCTGTCACCATATTTATTCAATCTTTATGCTGAGCAAATAATCAGAGAAGCAGAACTGTACAAAGAAGAACACGGCATCAGGATTGGAGAAAGACTCATTAAGCACCTGTGATATGCAGATGACACAACCTTGCTTGCTGAAAATGAAGATGACCTGAAGCACTCAGTAACAAAAATCAAAGACTACAGCCTTCAGTATAGATTACACCTCCACATAAAGAAAACAAAACTCCTCACAAGATCAATGAGTGACATCATGATAAACAGAGAAAACACTGAAGTTGTCAAAGATTTCCTTTTATTTAGATCCATTATCAACACCCATAGAAGCAGCAGTTAAAAAAATCAAATGACATATTGCATTGGGCAAATCTCCTGCAAAAGGCCTCTTTAAAGTATTAAAAAGCAAAGATGGCACTTTGAAGACTAAGTTGCATCTGACTCAAGCCCCATGGTATTTTCAATTACCTCATTTGCACGCAAAAGCTAGAAAATGAATAAGAAAGACCAAAGAAGAATTTGTGCCTTTGAATTATGGTGCTGGCAAAGAATATTGAATATACCATGGGCTGTGAGAAGAATGAACAAATCTGTCTTGGAAGAAATACAGCCAGAATGCTCCTTAGAAATGAGGAAGGTGATTTCCAGGTGTATAGTAGAGCTGACAAGGGACAAGGTTGTAGTCACCTCTTAGTCACAGCCAGCTACCCAGAGGGACCAAGTAGTTGAACCGGTGGGCTTGGAACCATAGTTGCAGGGGACATTGAGCTCAATTGGCATAACATACTGCAGAAAACATTGTTGCACCTCTTACATTGGCGAGTAGTGACTGGGATCTTAAAAGCTTGCAAGCAGCCATCTAGATGCAACAATGGGGCTCTCCTTGTCCAGAGCAAAGAAGAAT